CTCCATTGGTGGGCTTTGTGTGCCTACTCATACGAGGGATGCATTGATTATCTTGTAAAGTACAAATTTCGCGGCGGCCAATCCAGTTTCGCCATACGATTCTTCCAGGAGGCCTTAGCCACGGGCAACCTCACCTATGCGTTCAACTCGCCAATCGCCACAGTGAGAAACACGACTGCCGGAGTTGAAGTCACCACGAGACAGGCCCAAAGATTCAAGGCGCGGAGGATGATCAGCGCCATCCCCCTGAACGTGTTAAACAACGTTACCTTTGATCCGCCCCTACCCCAGGGGAAACAGGCTGCTGCCAGCATTGGGCACGTAAATCAGTGCGTCAAGGTGCATGCTGAGGTGCGTGACCGAGACCTAAGGTCTTACACAGGCATCAGCTACCCGCACAATGGACTCTTCTATGCACTAGGGGACGGAGAGACTCCTTCCGGGAATACTCATATCGTGGCTTTTGGTGGTCAGCACAACCATTTCGAGCCGGATGAAGACATCGAAGTCACGAAGAAGGCTCTTCAGGGGCTGACTCCCATGAACATCGAGAGAATTGTAAGCTAAGCGTCTCCCGCTCTTTCAAGCTCTGTCGGCTGATAGCCCTACAGGTATTCCACAACTGGTCCAAGGACGAATTTGCCAAAGGCGCCTGGTTGGTTATGAACTCTTCGTATTTGATTCAGCACTTGCGCTAACATTTATTCCAGGTTCTTTCCTGGGCCAGGTCTCTTGTCCAACCATTTGAATGACATGAGAGCTTGTCATGGCAAGGTGTTCTTTGCAAGTTCAGACTGGGCTTTGGGATGGCGTAGCTTCATTGACGGAGCTATTGAAGAGGGAACTCGGGCGGCTTTGGCCGTAAGGAATGATCTTGGGCGGGGAGAGCATGTCCCTATGAGGTCAAAGCTGGCATAGAACAGAGAGTGGCAATTCTTTTGGTGTAGGAGAAGTCTTTTCAAGCAACTTGCAAACGTAAACTTAGAGAGACAACATAAGCTGCGAGATTGAACCTGTCACCTGTTACATGACTAATACCGGGAAGTCTTTGCAAGCGATCTCTGTCCACCGTTTGATGCCTTGCATTGCCCAAATTGTCTCCAACGCTGTCAGCGCGGCGGGTATGCTGCCAAAACCGGTGAGGTCATAAATCTCTCTTAGTCTCGAAGAAAAGAAAATTCGGTGATCCGGCAAAATGCTCTCAGACGCAGCCACAAAGTAGGTCCAGACGAGTGCATGGGCGCCAGGAGTGTGTGCTTCGAGAGGGAGAACTCGCTGGCGAAGCCGCTCCACGTGCGACGTAAAATCTGGCGTCGCTAGTGAGGATGCAGTCCGCTGCTGATAAAGCATGCAGGCGTCGCAAATGGCTGCTCGCATGATCTGTAAGTTGGCCAAGTGCTCGGACGCCGAAGGAAGAGTGGGATACGTCATGAAGTCCATATAATAATCCGGTTTTCGTTGAAGGACAAGGGCTCCTTTCTCCTCGCTTGATAGTGGGAAGCCAAACAGCTCGAACCTTAAATCGAGATGGTCAACACCATTCAGCGCCCAGAGGTGAACACTTGCCTACATTTTGACTTGCTGACAAAAGAAATTTCGCAAAGCAGAGGGTAAAGCGTCCACTGCTTCGGGAGATTGTCGTAAGCATGTGAGCGCTTCAAGAAGGTGAAGGTAATTGTCAGCTCCAGTGATGGTCTCTCCGACCAGCAGCACCATGATTGTTGCCCAAGTGTAAGGGGTGAAGATCCGCTCCGGAGGAAGATGCAATGAGTCTCTCTGCAGCCTCTCGAGAATAGCACGATGTCCTGCAATAGCTGGTTGTCGTAGATGCGGAGCTTTCCGGGTAAGGTGAAATGCTGCAACTACCGAGATCGCTCTGGCGAGGACGTCGTCCTGCGTAGCCAGTGGAAGGATAATATCACGGTATCCATTGCCTGCGATATCGAGAACTACCATCATCGGCGCGATGTGTGAACAGACTAGTGTCAATTAGACGAAAAGTATCAAGGCAAGATAAAGGGATAACCTGCAATGATCAAATAGCATCCTTGCTTGCGGAGAGAGATTATTTGCATCTAATCCGGCCCGTAATGGCATCACTCGTAAGGTAATTCCTGGTTCGATTTGTCTGGAAGCTATACCACAAGGAAGGTCTATAGTAGATGTGTCGCAAGTCTTGTCATCAGTAAGTCGCTCGCGAGGCATCGCCTGGATAGTCGATGAAGAGGTAGGAGTGGTTCGTCGCCTGGAGCTGAGTCGTGAATGATGTGATGTCGCTTCTTGTGACTGCGGAGGGTTCATGTGGCTGCTAAAGCGACACCGTAGGCCTTGCCCGGAGCATTGAATTCCCTTCTTTCGACATTTGAGACATTCTGGTTCGGTTTTATCGCATCGGAGCCGCCTTTTACAGCACTCGTAGCATCCTAAGAAGTCATATCAGTCGTGTCACACAGGGTTCATCGTTATCAGCGGCACAGGGTCGCCCCATAGCGTTGGTAATATACAACCTACCATCGTTCTTTCGTGCAAGCGACCTTGGCATGGTTGCTATGATGAGTAAAGGTTGCAAGAAACTGAGTTAGGATAAATGGGGCTTCTGCTCTTATTATTAACGCCGTGTCCCGCGCTTACGTAAAAAAAGACTTAACAGCACCAGACGGCCTTTAAGTGTTGAAGGGGTCACGCTAGGTCATTAATTCTGTTTCATAATTCAGTACTTACTTTAGCTACATTAATCCTACTAGAAGGCCATCTTCGGCTTTGATCAATGTACTGAAATTACAGGAAAGGAGTCATATATAACAAGAGACCTAAAGTCTGAATTTTCAACTAAATCAACGTATATGATCAGCTGGTACTCCGTAAGCTGGGAGGCTAAGAGTGGAAATAAAAGTAAATCCTATCTTAAAAATTTTGTGCGGCCCAAATAGTTTACCCAGGGCGTCATAAAATAAAGATCTATATATATCAGACTTTCATTACTGGTTTTGTTTCCCGCGTATGGTTTTCGACTGAAAACGACGCCCTAGATAGCTAAGGTAGCATAGTATCTACGTCTATAGGATAGACATTAGCCATAGCTCATTAACGTGCGGTCAAATGACATTGGCAATTCTTGAATAAGACTCCTTTCCCTCTCGTGACCTCAATATCCTCTTTATACTATACAAGACATATTGTGTCACGACTTATAGGACAAGGGACAGTAGACTTGTAACAAGCGAGTATGGCGAGACGTATTAAGAAGCGTTTTGGCAAATGAATACTGAGCGCCGGTGAGATACCAGGCAGCTTCAAAGATAATCAAAGATCTAGAGAAATATTAAAGCCTTACTGCGCCGAATCGGCCAGGCCTGAGCAAGGCAAACTAATTGCCAAAAACATAGGCAAGACGTCTAAAAACGCGTTCAAACTATCACTTCATTCCACCCTCAGCCCACCTCTCTTTTCCCATTGTCGCTCTCGTCCACACCTCCAACTTCATCGCGAGCGGTCCATCCTTTGCCGCACTGCTCTGCCACCAAGACTCCCCGAACCGCCGAAATATATCGATATAGCCACCGCTCTGCTCTGCCTTCATATCCGAACCCGCAGCACGAACAAAGTATTCCACGATCCTTCATCCGCAGGCAAAATCAGTCCGAACCAGCGCATGACGGAAAGGAAGCTCATCACGGGCGACCCCACCGATCCGGAAAGGTTCGTGTCGACCACGCCGGGGTGAACGGACGACACCCATATCTCGCCGCCCCCATTCTGCGCGCGCTGTGAGTCGGGGTCATATTCTTGGTGCAGCGCCATGGTATGTAGAATATTGGTCAACTTGCTCTGCCCGTATCGAGACCATGGGCCGCCGCTTTCTTTGAGTGACGGGTCGTCAAAGTTAATGCCGCCCTGGGGCGCCCCCAAGTGGCCCGACGAAGTGATATTGACGATACGAATACTACTAGGAGGAAGTTTCTTAGCGGTCCGTAGCATAAGAGGAAGCAGGTGGTCTATCAAGATCTAGTACGCTAGGTAATTGGTCTACTATTATGCCTCGTACCCATCATTGGTTAATTCGAACGGAGTTGCCATAATGCCTGCGTTGTTGACCAAACCATGCAGAGCTGTTTAGCGGCGGTAATGACGCTAGCAAGGTCAATGAGATCCATCTATAAGAGGTCGATGTTAGCCGAGGTATATATCTTTTTGATATTAGTAATCGCAGTTATTGCTTTGTCTGGGGAGCGGGCACATATGTAAACGTGAGCACCGTGTTCTGCCAGACGTGCGACTGTCTGGTAGCCTCTGTGTTTTGGTAAGTTAGCCAGTTTACTGCTTGGAAGGAGGAACAGGGGAAAGAAGAAAGGTGTGGGAAGACTGACATGCCAGAATTCCCGCCCGTAACTAAAAATGTTTGACCAGTGAGGTCGGGGAGACTGTCGGGGTGGAATTTCATCTTCTGTAATAGTGCCTGGAGAAAGTCTGACGTCGCAGAACCTGTGGATCGATAGTATAAACAGATTAGAATCGTTATTCTTAATCTGATGATGAGTGTTGTGATGATGAGAAGGTTGTTATTTTGCCGAACACGATATTCCGTGGCCTCTTGATACCAGTCTTGTTAACCACGGCTACGAGCAATTCTACCTTGCCATTGACCTGAGTATCCATAAGTTAACATAAGTCGCAGACCCCCTTGAGCCAACAAGTTTCAATCTTCCACCGGACTTTGCGAAGGAAGGATTCCTCAATGGTCTGGGTGAGCCAGCTGCATGAGACTAGTCCTAGCTTGGAATGTGAGCAGGTTGCATGAAGCTTGACCTACTCAGGCTAGGCGTCACAGCGACGACCACTGGGATCATCCCATTCCATTAATCGCCCTTCATCTGCACCGCCCCGGTGAGACAGGTAACACTCTTATCTCCGGTGCAGTATGTCAGACTGTGAGCAGGCTGCATTACCGTCAGACTAACGATAACCTGCATCACACATCAGCAGCCTTTCTCGACGTCAAGATGTCGGACCCATCTAGCGTCATTGCGATCAGTATCCAGCCTGCGGCTCCAGAGACTTGGGTCGAGTTTGGCATCATGCCACAATTGGCAGAGGTACGTCTAAACGATGGGTGATGGCAGACCTTAAAGACGACATGGCTTGGGTTGCTGATTTGCTCAAGGCGATGAGCCGAGAGGACGAATGGACTGGAACCAAAGATGCCGCAGCACGTAGGAAAGCACAGACTAGGCTCAATACCCGAGCATACCGTATATATTAAACTACTCCTCTGTTTAATTCAGATCAGAACTTAGGAAGACAATATCTCGTTATCGAAAGTTCATAGAAAACATCTTATCAACTACCTACATAGGAAAGCGAAAAGCCCCCATTAAGAAGACCGATGAACTCGGTGCCTCTCCCGAGACAAGGGTTGGATCAGAAGATCTTATGCAATGCTGGGATGATGAGCAACAAGCCGTGTCCGCCGTACCAGCTTCCCGCATGATGCAGCTACACCGCACAAGACGACCTTTACTCCCACCATGGTCCTCTGTAAACAAAAAATAATTCAAAAACAAAAAATAATTCAAAATTCTATTCCCACTGAGCTCAGACCACCTCATCACCTTCCTTCAATTCAACGCTCTCCGTACCTTAGCCGTTAACCGCACGCTTATCTCAGGTATCCCCATAACACTACTCGATTATGGCAAAGAGATTATCCATTTATACCCCCTATTACTAATACGGGCCTCCTTCTGCTAGCGCTCATGCCCACCGTCCTCTAACAGACGGTGCCACATAGCGACTAGATCGATCTCTTCCCCTGTCCTAAGGGACGTAACTAGCTCATTTTAGCTACGGGCACTTCTAACGAGGACGAGCTATAGGCCGACTATATCGGGGGGTTATATAAGGGATTCCCTAATAATAAGATTTAGCGGCGTAGTATTATTACGTAGTTACCGCCGTGGAGCATTGCGGGTTGGGAAATGACGGAAGGGTTTCTAGATAAATAGGGATGGGTATTCGGAGGTTTGCCCGGGGCGTTAGAGGCAACGAATCGATGGCGGATTGAGCGAGGCGAGGAGCCACTTACTTGAGAAAACCAAGCGCCGTTTACAGAGGAACTACGCATTCTTCTTGACAAAAAGCCATAGCTAGGTAAACCTTGAAAATCTTTAGTCCCATTCAGCGAAGCCTTCCTATAGTTAGCCCTACTAAAGGGAAGGTGGCTAGATAGGGGAGGGGCGTAGCTAAAGTAAGTAGGTTAACCTAATACTACAGTAAAGCGCCATCAAGACTGCAATACCTAAGGAACAAAGGACTATAGCAATAGCGAGCCTAGATGCAGTAATTGATTTATTTTCATTACTAGAGACAAGGCGTGGTGTAATATGCGCTGAAGAAAGAAGGATTAAGTAAATGTGAAGCCGAAAAGACGTAGAAGCGGTAGGGCAAGGAAAAGGACAGCCCAGTCTAGCGGTCTCACAAGCCAACACATATGGGCTGATGTAGAGGTTCCTTCGATTCATGACAAAGAATCTAAGCCCAGGCGTCTATTATCGTGATAGAAATGTATCCATGGAGCAGAAACTGGTCCTCCATAGTCAGAAATATTAAGATATCATTTCAAAACAGGGGACTGAGCCAGGAGCACAGCACCAGGAATAGATACTGCTGCTCTCTTCCGGACTTTGCTCGTTGAGATACAAAGTAAGCTGCTGAAATCTCCCCAAGATCTCCAATACCTATAGAGCAAATTCAACAACAATGATAAATGTTAACAGTACTCTAAATGTTGAGCTCATATGCACTCCGCTCTGTTGATTGAAAGGAAGTCCACAATGAGAAGACCGAGACCAAATGGCCATGAAGACAGCAGCAACAAGGTCAGCGGCCCACATCGGGACAAGACCCCGCGCGGATGGCTGGCTCCTGGACCAGGGGTGGCGGACTACGCGAAGGCTGGCGACGGCCACCAACCCAGCCGCAGTCGTGACCGACAGCCAGAAACGCCATCAACAATCGGTTACGCTGGATGTAGATGCACATACAACAAAACTACTAGAAGTCTTTTTAGCTTAGCACAGTCGACGTTTCGAAACAGTCGGGCACTTTATATCAGAGTTCAAAGCTATCTTCGACGTCGTCTTAACCAAACCTTCCGGTTACCACTCTTATACGATAGTTTCCGAGAAATATCATCGAGCGACTACGTGGGAGAATGGAACGATCAATAGGATATCATCAACTCAAAGGATATGTATGAGACATTGATCGGACTGGGTTTAGCTACCGTAATCAGGTATCTTAAAGAGCAGGAAAAGGATTTGGGGATAGTTCTTCAAGATATTCGCGTAAGTCTCAAATGATGACCTAGAACATGGTGTCAGTCGGTGACTCTGCTATCAAGACAGTTTTCTCAGTATTGTTCGCGATGGTGAAGGCTTTGCAAGGCGACATTATGCATTATGTTATGACAGATTAAGTGGAGAGGGGGGTAAAGACTCAGTCGAGTTGACAACAGCCACTCGATGGCAAGGCATGTGACGCGTCATAAGAGGATATGAGGCTGATGAAAGCATTTCAATGCCATCTGACTACAGCTATAGACTAGGATCACTGGTTTTTCAACATATCCATGAGCATCATATCCTTCATTATTGGCTCTTGGATAATCATGTCGACGTATCATGTCTTTTCGACTGTAACGTCATGAAGTCTCAGTAAAGAGCCAGGAGACAAGCTCCAAGCACAGCCGGGAACAACAACATACGAACGTCAGTGCCAAAATGCCCAGCCCGTGAATCCGACTCCGTCGGCGACGGCGAGCCGCCCGTTCCACTGGGAGTGCCTCCAGACCCAGTGCTAGTAGTGGGTTCAGGCATGGAAGCGCCCCCGCTGCCCTCAATCCAATTAGTCACGGGCGCTTTGGCGTCGCCGATGAGCAGACCCGAAATCGCACCCAGCACGCTCGTTCCTTCACCGACGCCAGTGATGCCCCCCGTTCTGTTATCTACAGTCTGCGGATCGGTGAGCTCGGCGTCGCTCCAGTAGAAACCACAGGTCGTCATGCCCTTGGAGTTATCCTGACACTGCTTTGCTGCAGCCTGAGCCGACGACCTCAAGACGGTGAGCACCTTTCCTGAGAGGAAAGGGGCCACCTGGGCGGCGACAGAGAGCCATCGATGGACATAGCCCTTCATGAACATGGCGTCGGTCGGACAGCTGCCCTTAGTACCTTCGCAGGCGGCTTCATAGGCGATGCCCTTAGGGAAGAATGTCTTGATGCTGGCCTCGGCAAGCTTTTCGGCGCGGTCATGCCAAACATCGGAGCCATTCGTCTATAGAAAGAGGTTAGCCTGAGTTCGAATGATTCCAGAGACAAGCAACTCCTTGCAGGAGAAACTTACGAAGTTGTACATGAACGCGGCACTCTCTGTAAGAATAGCCGCGTTCTGAGACCACTGGTACTTCGCAGGGCTGGTACAGTTGTCGTCCACGTTGGCTCCGTCGTATACCTCCCAAGTTGTGGTGTTAATGAAGCCAACGCTTTCGAGCCAGTCCCACGCCTTCACAGCGTGTTCCGCATAGCTCGTGTTGCCAGTATACCTCGCGAGACGGGCGCCCATGTTGAGGAAACACGCGTTTGACATGGCTACAATGGCGCATTAGTATCATCTATCCTAAGCCAACATCGCCGACGGGAAGATCCTTACTATTCTTGTAGTTATACCCAGCATTCGACATGATAATCTGCCAACGCAGCCCGCCCCCGCACGTCTCGTCGTATCGGTCCGGCGAAGCCTGATTCGCCCAAACGTTCTTGGCCACCTCGATCCATGAGGGCTTGCCATCCGCGCTCGGCAATTGGTACTCCGCAGCCTGTAGCGCAGCCGTGCCCCAGAAACACTGGTCGTCATTCCCCATTGAGGCGGTCCAGTTAGGAGGCATATAGTTGGCATCGGGGCCTAGTTGGAAGGCTAAGGCCTTCACGATGCTGTCTTGGAAGGAGTCGTCGCCGGTCAGGTGCTGGTAGTCGACGTAGGTCTGGAAGAAGCTGGCGCCGTGATACCAGTAGTAGCCGCCCGAGCTCGGGGTGGGAGGCCCCGGGAGAATGCCGGGGATTTTTCCAGGCTGATCGCCCTCGTAGACGGTGAATAAGTCTTTGGCAAGCTTGTTGGAAGATGCGACAATCTCATCGCGAGAGCTGATCTTGAATTCGGCGGCCGAGCAAGGGAGTCTGCCAAGGAGGAGAAGGGCACCCGCGAACGCGGACGCATAGGACGGAGTCATTCTGTGATTAAGCACAAAAGCTGGTCGCAAGAGATCCAACGACAACGAGAGTTGATTGCAAAGCGAGTGATTTGGCTCAACAGAAAAACGAATGTGAGGAAGGTCGTAGAAATAGACACCCTGATAGACACAAGCAGCGATGAGATAAGACAACCCCACGGCCAGGCGATTGACGTTCTCTAATTTCACAAAATGAAATAGGTGATGAAAACTTTTGAAGGAAAAACACAGCAGTAAAACACCACACACGGTCTCGCGACAAACACGCCATGCTTAGTGCTTACTGAGGTCAGACCCCGCGTTAACCCCCCGCTGTGCCGCATCAATTACTCTCTTTAATCGAACCGTTGCATGCTTGGCGAAAATCCTACGTAGGCCCGGAAATTGTTATGTCGGGGGGCTAAATGCAGATCGAATTGGTATTTGAGGGGGATTTGCGGTCGCCAAACACCGAACGAGGTATGACAATATGTGGCGAGTCTATCTAAAGCTCAACATTGAACGCCGTACTCATCGAAGACTTGATATATTCGTATCGGTTTCCTTTTTACGATGCTTTCGACCCGTTAAAACTATTGACTGCCTTCTTGTTTGCCGCCTTTTTTAAAAATTGGAGAGCTCGTCTGTTCCGACTGACCCTGGTCGCTCATTAGCCCCTCGTGATTGGTTTCTTTTTTTGTCGACTGTGCCGCCTGGGAAACCTGTTCCGTTTTTTAGCCTTAGTAACATCCTAGTCAGGTGCGTCGTTTTCTGGGCATGAAGGGAAGGCTTTAAGCGCCTTTATCTACAGGGCTTTATTTCTCTTAGCCTTCTTCGCTAACTCCGCTTTCTTTTGTCGCTGGCGCTCGCCCATGATGGCATTCTCCTCGACAACTATTTAGTAACCTCGTTAACGGCTGATTTAGTAGCACTTCAGTACCTGAGAATGACCACCTGGAATTGCTTAGGCGTGAAGACGTCGTCTCGTATTTGCTTACCGAATCTGTCGGCCAATCGATCGAAGCTTTCTTCTTGCTACTGTTATATAAGGTCGGTATCCTCCCCGAGCAGCGTTGATCCATGAGATGAAAGTTACTGCCGGTATACACATTTCTTGTAGATATAGCTAGGCCAAACTCGCGCCTCGTAGAGCCTGTGAGCTACATTCGACGTCATTGAGACGACACATCCTTCCTGTGATGTGACTACGTCGAGAGGCTAGATGAAATGCATCGGGACCAGCTGGATTCTTTCTCACTGCTATCGTCGCCTACTCTATCGTCATCATT